CAGGATGAGAACAGAAATTGTGCTCCGGCGGTGCGGCAGCAGCAGGAAGCCCCATTAGCTAAAGTGGTCTTCAGGTTAAGAACAGTTTCAGGTTAAGTACGGACCTCCGGAACGAATTAAGTACTTAACCCGAGGTACCACTGTATTAACTCACATGGCCTTGATTTTGTTTTTTAATTAATAGCATACGGGGGGAAATCAGAATAGTCCTGTGGCAGAATGTCTTCGTTTTATTTATACCCTACTCAGAGAACTCTTCAATTAAGCAGTTTATAAATCTTTTAAATAAATTTATTGAAGAAGCTGGACTTTTGGGCGGAGGGACGAGAGAGAGATTTTGCAATATTGGTGACAAGCTTGGAAAACTGTGGCATCTCATAGCACTCCAGGTTTGCCATCAATATCACATAATCTCATGCTATTATTTAATTTATTATCAGTTTTGTAGACCACCCCTTCATCATGTCTGTAATCCCAGGGCAGTTTCCAACACATAAAACCACTCCATTAACAAAACACATTTATATAACCAATAAGAATCAAAGGAGTAATGCAGCAGTTCAGAAACCAGCAACAAGGCTGGGTACAATAGATTAACTCCTAGTGCCTGGGAGAACAGAAATGATTTTATCTGGTGTGGAAATCCCTGAAGGTCTCTGCCATCAGTACCTCCAGGGGAAGGGAGTGTCAAAGCTGAGGCGCCACAACAAAGAAGGCCCTTTCCCACATTGTAGTGGTTGTGACGAATGCACCTTACCTTCCTTAACTCGATGAAGACTCAGGTATATGACAGCCCATTTGTAATTTTGCCCTTTGACCTGACGTTCCACACTGCACACAACTCTTCCATGTAAAAAAAGAAACAGATTTTGAAAGGACAGGGGTAAGCACCCAAATCAGGGCTTGATGTTCACAGCTGACATAAATGAACCTGAGCACAAGCGATTAGCTTCATCTCGGGCTCAATATAGTATTTCATTTTTATTTCTGAAGTGCCATTGGCAAAGGTATCTCTATATGTTAAACACCCTGGCCGTCATGCTGCTGTTTCATTTGAAAATCCTTGCACTCACCTCACAAGCTTAATTTCTGCAGAGCAGAGTGAGAAAGCGACATGGAAGCGCCAAAGCGCCACTCCGGCTTATTGCTTGTCAAGCAAGAAGATACCAAACCCCATTGTGTCAAGTTGCAATTTGTTCAGCCATTTTCTTCCAGGGGACCCACACAAGCAGATGGTTAATTCCTCTCCTTTTTCTATAAAAGGGCTAGGGGAATTCCTTCTAGGATCTGTGCTTCTCACACAGCACGCCCGAACTTTGGATTGAATGCAGGAAAGGGGCCTTTCAGGAACACAAAAAAGATGGCTTCTTTATTAGCATATCAGAAGTGAAGCTGTGGTGGGAACCCTTAGAGGCGCACAAAGGAGGCAACGCCATGCCATTGTCTAACGGGGCTTACAGAAGCAGGGGGGAGATGATAATTGTCCATTTGCTAGGCAGTAACAGGCAGATGTTGACATTTCTTTCCCCTTGGGTTTAGGCTCTACAACTGTCCCTTGCCAGAGTCCCAAGGAATGTTTCCTTGTATCCTACAGAGAAGGCATTCATATGGAGAGTTTGCAAGACAAGCTGTTTTGAATGAAAGCATGGTGCATTTACATACGAACATGCACCCCCTGATACAAGGGCAGGGGTTGGAGGAGGACAGCTAATTAGAGGTGGGGAGCTGGTCACAAATAAATTATGTCTCAAATCAGATTTTAATTCAGATTTAAAGAGCACAGTATATTACACTTGTGCCTCCTGTGCAGAATCTTTGGGAGTGAATTTGAGAGACAGGATGAGATTGCAAATTTTAATTTCCATGATTTTTCAACTTGTTTGGAACAAGAGGATTTAAAAAATAATAATACAGAAAACTTGTTTCAGTCCCAGCAACTCCATTTCCAACTGAGAAAGAGGCCCTCTCTCTTCTAGGTTGATCTAGAAACTGATGAGCACACCTGTGTCTGTGTGGCACTGTAATGGTTTTTTTTCTGGCTAAGAACATATTGCTATTTACATCTGGCAGCTGATTGATCTGTTCCTTTCAATTGTTTTGTTTTTTGTAATTCATATCACCATAATTTTGTTTTCTAAACTATTTTTCTATAGCTATGTCTCTTGCTGAATTTGAAGGACATTTCAAATTTTACATTTTTCTATGCATACTTAAAAAACACACATGCCATTAAATATAAACCATGAATACAACAGACATGTTTTTGCAATTGCGCTTCTAAAAACTGTTAAATACTTCAGCGAGCCAAGATTAGTTGCAACTTCTTGAATACCCAATGGCAAACTCAGGTTTGCTGCCACCTAATGTGTAAAATAGTTCATTCCTAGCTCACAGTTTGACACCAGCAACTGTCCTACATTGGCTTGGATACCAATCCAAGTGAATAGAAAAGGATTTTTGCTTGGGCAAGGCAGTTCTCCTGAACTCTTCTCATTTCTTTGTCCTACAGAAGCCACTTTCCCCACGTCACATGCCATTCCAGGCAGCCCCTCAACCCCCAGGTCTTTGTACCCATCTTCTGATATTTTTCAGATTGCTCTCCTAGGGGCACCTCAACAATATCTGCCATTTTCACAACAAAATCATTGCCCACAAAACCAGAAGGAAGGAAACACATCTGTTTTAGTCTCTCTGCCCCCACCCCCAACTTCAAAAACACCTAGCACAAAGATCTCTAGATCTTTTTGATTTGACTGATTTCTTACCTATAGCCAACTCTCTCAATATATGCTGTTTTGTATTCCAAACTGTGGGTTTTACTTGCAGAAAATTAGTATGACTTTCCTTCTGAGATCTGGCAGGATTTATCCCCACAGAAGGGGCTAACATGCCTACAAATTTCATCTACTTCTGCCAACAATAAAAGAGAGATACATGATTCCTTTAAAATAAATGTTAGAAGTACCCTACACACAAAAAACCCTGGACCTATTTGACTGTAATTTGGCAGGCGTTATCCATTCGGGAATGGCTAAAATGTCTGCAGATGTAATCCACTTTGTCAAAGGGGAAAAAAGAAGTGTTGTTGTTGCTGCTGCTGCTGTTTCCCCATAATAACCAATAGGAAAAGGATGACGCTTCATTGTCCTGAATCAGGATCTGGACTTGAATTGAATTGAGCAGCCTCCAAAGCACTTCAGACTGCATGAAATTGAGGTTAAATCTTATGGTCAGTGCACCTCCCTACTTTTGAGACCATTTTTTAAATAAAAAAAATCTCCCAGAGAAGATGGCATGAGACTCACATTTCATGACTTTTAACATGCGGTTACAGCTGAAAATTGTTGTTTCACTCTGCTTTTATTTTAATATGAACTCCCATGCTGGAAAAAATAATCTTGTTAGGTTTAAATGCTACTGACACTTGCTGGTCACGTAGCTGAGGTCTTTTAGTGAAGATTCTGTTCTACATTAACAACCAGAACATATGGTGTTAAAAGCTGTTTTAGAAAGAATGTAGCTCTATCAGTACTGAATGAGATCACAGCTGGTTTAAATCTTGAGTCCTCATTACTTGTCTGGAAAGCAGACAAATGCCTCAGGGGGGGAAATATCACTGGTAACTGGAGGAATCAAGGGAGGAGGTGGAGGCTGAACTATGTAGAGTATGCCTTATTTGGAAAACCAAAGTTTCAGATAACTCTCCGAAACTCTTGTGACAATTCTTCAGCTTCTTAAGGCATGATGTCACCTCGAACTAAAAAAAGAAATGGGGCAGTCCATTTGTTGTTACCAAAAGATCCAAACCAGGAATGAAAGAAATATGGTCAATCTGAAACATATTTCAAAAAGCACAGGGTTTTGGGAGAAGAGGGAATTGTGCAATTAATCATGCAATGAATCCTGCTTAGTGGTCAAATCTCCTGGAACGCTGTTTAGTTCAGTATTAATGGTTCATGTCCTATTGTCTCTCTCACTGTTAGTGATGGCTCTTAAACAGTAACTGTAGTTAAATTCTGGTTCATGTTGCAATTTCCCTGTTCAGTTGCTTTATACTGATTCAGAGCATTGATACTTCCCGTTCAGTGTTATCTTCTTCTTCTTTCTTCTTCTTTGGCAATCATTCGTAGCTGAGTAAGATTGTCTTCCATAAACACGGCTTTAACAATGAGTCTGTAAGTGACTGTGGAGGCCAATTCTGGATCCACACGTCCTTGCACAGTGGGGACATTGGTTTCCGGGCAGGAGTTGATCATGGTGCAGATTTGCCAAGCGTGCCTTCCTCTTAGAACATTTCTCCCTTGTATCCTGAGTTCGAGTGTCTTCAAAGCCCATGACACCTTTGGTAAAGGCTGTTCTCCAACTGGAGCACTCGCAGGCCAGTGTTTCCCAGTTGTCAGTGTTTATACTACATTTTTTTAGATTTGCCTTGAGACAGTCTTTAAACCTCTTTTGTTGACCACCAGCATTACGCTTTCCATTTTTAAGTTCAGAATAGAGTAGTTGCTTTGGAAGATGATCATCAGGCATCCGCACAACATGACCAGTCCAACGAAGTTGACGTTGAAGAATCACACTGGTGGTATTTGCTTCTTCCAGAACACTGATATTAGCTCGCCTGTCTTCCCGAGTGATGTGAACATTTTTTCGGAGACATCGTTGATGGAATCTTTTGAGGAGTTGGAGATGGCGTTCGAGGAGTTAGAGATGGCAGTCCATGTTTCACAAGCATACAGTAAGGTTGGTAGTACAATAGCTTTGTAAACAAGCATTTTGGTTTCCCTAAAAATGTCCTGGTCCTCAAATACTCTGCACTTCAATAGGGAGAAAGCCGCACTCGCAGAACTCAGGCGATGCTGGATTTCAGCATCAACGTTGGCCCTTGTGAAAAGATAACTGCCTAGGTAGGAGAAGTGATCAACATTTTCCAACGTTACACCATTGAGTTGAATTTGTGGCACTGCAGAGGGGCTATTTTGTACTTGTGATATCTTGACTGCTGAGATAGCTCAGTGGGTAGAGCATGAGACACTTAATCTCAGGGTCATGGGTTTAAGCCCCACACTGGGAAAAAGATTCTTGCACTGCAAGGGGTTGGACTAAATGACCCTTATGGTTCCTTCCAACTCTACAATTCTATGATTCTATGGTGGTTACTGGCTCTCTGGGGTTTTAAGCAGAAATCTTACCTACTTCCAATTGCATTGGGGGAAAATATGCACCCTAAACATGTGCTTGTCACTTATCAATGACCCCCCCCTTTTGAGTGACCCCTCTTCATCTATTTATATATATTTGTACTTAACAGATCTTCACTTCTGGTATATGTGCTTTTTACCCTTTCTGGTACTCTGTACAATGCTGATCGCCAAAGAATTGATGCTTTTGTTGGAGGAGACTCTTCTTGTTGTTGTCACGGACGCCTCTGGGGTTGCGCACCCATCTCGCTCTATAGGCCGAGGGAGCAAGCATTTGTCTGCAGACAGCTTCCGGGTCATGTGGCCAGCATGACTAAGCCGCTTCTGACGAACCAGAGCAGTGCAATTGTCCCAGGTTTAGCAGACTTCCATCCAGTCTTCAATGATTCTCCCCTTTCTGAACACCCCTACCCCCACTTCGTTCAGGAGGATCACTAGATTTTCAGGGGGAGCAAGCAGGTGCAAGGGTGGAGATGACTAGAAACCTTACATTCATTATCTTAGGATCTAAGCCATTGTTGAGGGTACAAGGAGAAGGGGACAACAGAGGACGAGATGGTTGGACAGTGTTCTCGAAGCTACCAGCATGAGTTTGACCAAACTGTGGGAGGCAGTGGAAGACAGGAGTGCCTGGCGTGCTCTGGTCCATGGGGTCACGAAGAGTCGGACACGACTAAACAACTAAACAACAATAACAACAACAAGCCATTGTTTGGAAGTTGCATCCATTCCAAATTTAGAAACTATTGGAGCTTACTTTTAGATCAAACCTATTTAGGAATATCAAGTCCTTATAAACTTGAACAAGAAATGAATTTCCCCCCCACATTGAATGCTGCAAGGAAAGGCCCATTTAATATATTTAAAAGAGTTTTCAAACAGTTTATTTGGAATGCATTGTTAATTTTGGATCTAATGTGTGTAAACAAAAATGCCAAAGCAAATCTGCTTTTATATACACATCATGCCTTAATCCTTTGTTTAAATGTCAGTTCTAAAGGCTTTCATAATCCTTCCAACAGTTTCTTTTCACAATTATCAGTATGCCTGTTCTGAAGAGAAGAAGTGGAGCTGAGGAAAACCCTTCCTCAGGCCTCAGATATTTCCCCACCTAGGCCTCCCAGCTGTGGAACTCTCTTACTCTTTTGTGCAGGCAGTCATGTGACATGGGGAAAATAACTGGTTCCAAGTTTTTTATTAAGTAGGTAAATACAGTAGATAAGTAGCATTTGATACAATTAAATGTGTGGAGATTATCTCCAAATTCAATATCCATAAACACCTTTTTCCCCCCAAAAGCAACTTTGATCATTGATTACCCAGTCAAATCACTGCATATTCAGGTAATTACATAACCCCTTTTTTGAGGCTATCGCTTATCATAATTCAACAACTGAATCTGACTGACCACACATTTCTAACTTGAAGACCTCCACACCAATTTAGCCTGCTGAACCGGCCTTTTCTGAAAGTGACAGGCACTAGATTTTATTAGTAGCAAATGCTGCGTCATCATCCTCCATTCAAGTCCTCCTGTCAGGAAATGACCATGAGAGGATGAAGTAGATATTACAGTAATGCCTTTTCTTTTGCTGTGGTATTTCCATCTTAACTTGCCATAGTCAAGAGACCTTCAGAACTAATTGCTGCGTTTGCTGCTAAAATCTGTACCTGGCTCTGGATGACAGGGGACCTTAGTGATTGTGGGGCTAATTCAAAAGCTATGGCTCCACTCTCCTTACTTCAAAAATTGCTTTCACTGTCCATCTCTGCTCACGGGCACAAAAAGGGATTTAGTGTACTTACACATATGATCCTCATTAGGGCCCATTTGTTTTTGTTTGTAAATTCCTCAAAACCTTGTAATTCAACTAGAATGCAAATAAATAAAAAAAGGTTTTTTGAAAGATAGTCAGCAGGGCCAGCACACTTGTGGACAATGCAACCACTTGTGTGAACTTAAGTCCTATTGATAGCAGTGCACTCAACCACATAGAACAGTATGAAATTTCATCGTCATCATTGATGCAGATATTCAGGGCATGGGGTGACATAGCTGGAATTCCTTGCCTATCCTGGTCTGCTGAAGCCATCCATACACAAATTTGATTGTGAGTCTTGAGGAAATGCCAGCACCAGGCACTTCAGATGTCCAACAATTAAAAACATATGGAGGGATAAAATTGAATTTAAGAAAATGACACTTTTTTATGCTAACTTATCATGGTACTGGAGCATTAGACCTCTATGTGATTTTCACCTTTGGTGGCTTTAGCCTCTTTGCTTATCTTGCAATTATTTAAGCCAGCTGTAATGACAGAGAAAAATGAACCATTTCCTACCATCAAATGTGATGTGCTTCACTGGGAACTAATTCTTTTCTAGAAATTTATCTGTAGGTGCTGACTGCATGTAATGTGCTTGTTGGCTGTCCGGAAGTCAGCAATGCTGTTTGGCAGGAATGGGGAAGCTCAGACCCAGGAACCAGAGGGTCATTGCCTGGCCCTCAGGTGTCTCCCCAGGCCCCACCCCCTTCTCCCCAAGCCCCATCCCTCACTGGCCCTGCTTTGCATCCTCCTTGAGTGCCTTTGCCTGGCTAGAACGTGTCCCTAAAACCTGATAATGGCTTATTGCTTCTTGCCTGGATGGAGGGTGAAGAGGGGTGTGCAAGGGTGTGTGGAAACAAGCTGTTCCACTTTTGCTTCCGACCCTGCCTATTGCTGGAATATGGCCCCCCAGAATGGAATGTGGCTCTCAGGAATGGAGATTTGATTCTTAAAACTCATTTTGATTTTTAAGAGTAAGGAGAGCTGAGTAGTGTGCTGGAACATGGGAGGGTCAGAGACTGGGGCGAGAGCGGGAAGAGGCTTGTTTTGGTGGGAAAGGGCTCAGACAGGTAAACGAAAGGAACAAGAGCAGGCATGGAAATTCATTGGGGTTTTGACATTTTTTTGACCATATTAGCCCTACTCTGGCATTCAATCCCTACCCCATGTAATTAGAATCACACAAGGAAGAGCAGAGGAGTGCTTGCTAGCACCACTGCCCTCTCCATCATGTCCCCATTGCATGACGCACAACCTTCCTCACATTGGAGGGGAACCCTCTGCAGCAGGAAGCCTGCCCTGCCTGTGGTAGCTCCTTGCTCAACTTGGAACTATAAGAACAGCAAGCCCCACTCTGCCGATCTTAGGCCTCCAATGTAGGGCAGAGAGGTGCACAGGTGGAACTGAACACCCAAAGATGTCTTATGTACTTCATGGTTTTAAGAGAGTTAGGAGCAAGCATATAACTCTGGGTAATATTTTTAAGACGTTTGTCAGCCACCCGGAGCCTGTGGGCGCAGAATGTGGCAGGAGTTTAAACTGAGAAGTCAAATAGAAATGTACATGCCTAATAGAAATGTACATGCTTGGGCGGCCAGTAGTTTTCAGGCACTCATTATTTTGCATATGCCGGCAGGCTGCAATCCTGTACTCGCTTATCTGGGAGTAAGCCTAATTAAAATCAATGGGACTTACTTCTGAGTAGACATGTATAGAGTTGCACAGCTGAGCAGAAATGGGAAGGAGAGGGAATCTGGCATTGATCTGTGTCACACTGAGCTGAAGGAATGACTATTGATTCCTTTTGAAAAGGAAATGTGTCACAAAACTTGCTGTGTGATCGATATGTATACCTCAAAACCGCCTGGAACGATTCTGTGCTGAAGAGAAGTATCATTCCTTGACTGCTGACTCTGTGGAGAAATTAAGCAATCATAAACATCACTGCAAAGTTCCGTGAGTTATTTACATCTGTTTTCCATTCATCATTCAAACAATGCCACTTTGATTTCCACCTCCACGCCCCCCTGCCAGCAACATATGTACAGCTTCCATAGCTGAAATCAATTAGCTGATCAATGCTCAAAGTATATGGTCCCCAAAAGAAAACTGCATAGAAAACAGTTTAGGCCCCGCAAATGAAATCCACATAATGGCATGTCACTGGGGTAGCCAGTTCCCAAGACATGTTTGTGTGCACAGCTCGGCTCTCTCCACTGCCATGGTTGCCATGGTGACTGCTCAGGCAGCTACAGGTCGAGCATGGTGAGTAGATGCTTCCTCTTTCAGTCTTGGAGCGACAGGAAATAAGGAGGATCCCCTTCCTCTCTCCAGCTCCCTTAGCCTAGGATTTGTTTTCGCTCAATTGCCAGGTGCAGGCATATAGCCAAAACCACTCACTGTTTTTGCCCCTGAACTAGAAGGGAATGGTGGAGTTGTGGTTGCTTGTCTCTGCCTTCGCCTGTGTGTGGTCTACATGTCTGGAGAGCACGAAGACAACCATCTTTCTCTCAGTATCCTCCATTATGACTGTCAGGAGCAGATCGGACTGGGAACAGAAGAAGTTGCCTCACACCAAATGGGTCCACATAGCTTGGTGTTGTCTACACACCAACTGGTTCTTGAGGGTTTCAGGCAGGATGCTTCTCCAGCCATACCTGGATATCCATGGGGCTGAACCTGGCACCTTCTGCATGCAAAGCAAGATGCTTTACCATGGAACGACAGCCCTTCCCCTGTTCACAGTCAAATGGTGAACCACCAAAAGCATTTCCTTGGGCAACGGTGTTTTCTCAGGCTCTGGCTACACCCAGCCACTGGCCATTGGGTCCTCCTAGACAGGAAGGACTATAAAAGGTTTCCTGTTTGGTCTGGGAGTGCACTTTGCCAGAGAAACGATGATCATCTTGATTATGGTGCATTCCTTGACTTTGGCTCCTATTTTCATTTGACTCTCTGGTGTAACTCTAGGCCCTGGGCTCTACAGCTGCTCCCTATAGCTCAGCCCTAACAATAGCAGTACCTAGGTGCAAAGCACAGGTGCAAAAACA